ACTGGCAGAAGGCCCAGAGGACGGCCAAGGTTAACCTGGTGCACATATATGGATGAAGTCTATTGCGGACTCCAGTTGTTTTCTGACGAAGCTCAGACTCTGGCAGTGGATCAGGAACGACGGATGCACTCTTTGACGTGCCTGCTCTTGGATCCAGAAGGAGAAGCGGTTATGAATGATGATGATGACTATATTCATTGTTAAGCTTCTTGAAAAACATTATTAGTAACTTGCTCATTTGCCTTGATATTAATGATATGTTGCTTCGTGTTTTCCAGTTTTTTGCCAATCATGTGATGTTGATCATTTGACGCCCATTGCATGATTTTTCTGATGTCATTGTCTTATTTTCAGTCTAGATTCCATACTAAATTTAAATATTAGTACTTTCTGTAGACATTCACCATTTCTTCCTATATAGTGACCAGTATAGTGTGGTTTCAGGTGTTTTATGTTTATTTCTTACGCTAGGCTTGAGTTTTAAGTTGTTTGTTTTGACGCACAGTCACTAGTTTTCAGGTCCGTTCAGAAAATCTGTATTGCTTCTATAACACCGTTGCTTGAAATTTTCAGCTAACTTTGGTTCTGTCTCCGTGATCCTAAAAGATTGCATTCAAACCTTGCAATCCAATCAATCAGAGATTTCAGAAGTGTTACCTTTATGGAACTTTTATTGCTGTCGCATTTTAATATCATTTCAGAAAATTGTAATAATCTGTTGAGTTTAAAATGAATGTTTTTGTTGTTGGTTTACATTGCGTCTCAAATGCATTATTCAGGACACTGTGAACCGCTTTTCCTTAAATTTTGCTGCTTCCTAGCACGGTCAACGACACTGTCAGACAACCATGCAAGCTATCTTGGAAAATATCAAGCAGAATATTAGAGACGTGGTCAATAAGTAAGTGAGTTTTGCTTGAAGCCGTCATTCAACTTCCATTCAGCGACAAACATGTGATCGGTCGAGTTGTGGCCAATATCGCCTGGAAAACTCAAACGTCGCGAGAGAACATAGCCTACATCGGCTTGGGCATGTTTGGAGTTTACATGGTAACTGGTTACTTCGCAGGGCTAATTTGTAATCTCATAGGATTCGTCTATCCAGCAATTGTTTCTAGTACGTTGCATTTGGTTCTCACGTGACAGCAACTAGAAATGATTTTTTGCAGTTAAAAGCGTAGAATCTGGAGAAAGAAGAAACGATGCAAAGTGGCTAATTTATTGGACGGTGTTCGGTCTGTGCTCAATGCCAGATTTATTCTCCCAAACAATCCTGACCTGGTTTCCAATTTACTGGCTGTGCAAATGCGTCTTCTTTTTGTGGCTCTACTTGCCATCGACGAACGGAACCGAGGCTTTTTACAACAAGATAATTAGTCCATTTAGCAAAACGTACCTCTCTCTATTAGACACTATTGTACGATAGGAGTCTCTGTGTTGAAAACCGTTCGAGTATCATAATTTGAGATGTAAATTGCAGACTTGTGAAATACAGTTCACAACAGGACTCTGACCGTTGCTAAAAAATCGATGCATTGGGACACAAGACTAAAAATTGTCAGTTTAACTGTTAGCTGTGACTTCAAAACTTCATTTTCATTCAGTGACACGCATTTAATACACTTTTATCCTTCAAATTGATGCCTTCTGATCAAAGGTGTGAATAATCTTATTGTTACCTGTTTTCATTACTTATTTCTCACAGTTGTCTGGAGGAAAAGATATTTATTCAAATTACCGTTTCATACATTTCAGCACCTGCAGTGGAGCAGCCGCAATACTCTGAACTAGATTTGGAACGAGGGTTATACCTGCATTGCGTGAAGAGATATATCAATAAATTGAGTAGTGCTTATTCGGTAACTATAACGAGCATCCAATTGTGTTGAGAGTAATTAACAGTGAATACATTTGGAAACGTGCCAGATCTTAACCACTGAATTTACTCATGTATGTGTAAATAGTTTTTCCTTTCTTAGATACCACTAATTAGATATTATCTAGTTCTGCCGCTGTTTCTTGTCTATGAATAGTTATTAGCCGTTTAGAGAGTGACTAGGTGAGAAAAAGATTTCATAAGTTAAGCAATTAATATGGACGGTGGCTTCTTTTACTCTTCTCCAAAGATTTTTAATAGAGTGCTTTTCCTCTGTCCAAAACTGATTCAAAATTCAATGACGTGCTCTATTAATCTTGATATCGGAGCCTTTCTGGCCTATTATCACAAGTTATATGACTAATCTTCACGAATGCCTGGATAGCGTAGGAACCTGAAAATGTGTAAAGCAAAATAATTCGACCTTCCGTATGATGCTGTGCTTTGGTTGTTATTCCATCCCTTTTCTCTTCCACTGGGCATTCATACTGAGCTATGAAAAGCAGTCGTGATGCATTTTCATGTAACAATTTTTCTTCTGACACAAAAGACCAGCCCGCGACGGAGGGGAACTTGGAAATGTTACTGTAATTGAAGACTACGCTGTTTGCAAGGAATGCCAACTCTTTACTATGTGTACTAGGCTTTTTGAAGGATAGTTCGTCAACTTACGACCTGCGGTTGTTTACTTTTCGCCAGCTGGTTGTCGGTTTATCTTCTGTGAAGTCGGTATAGCTCTACCAATGAAAAAGTGCAGGTGTCTTCACGACTGTTCAGAACCAATGTTCTCACAAAGCAGCAGAAAGGAAATACGTTTTATTACTTTAAGCTATTAAAGCAGGCGTGGCATTGGTTTGCGAAATATCAGCGGCTATAGGGAAAAACAGTTATCAGCAAATTTCATCTGCAATGAAAGCCTGGACCAGTTGCTTGCAACGGATGACTCACACTAACGCATAACATGCCTAATGAGAAAACTGCATGATTTCTTTCATGTCAGAGTAATGCGCAGATTGAGTACGCTTTAGCCAATAACTTAGCCTCCCCTGTTCGAACAGGTACGCATGTTTACTTTTGACAGGAAACACAAATAAGGGATTGGCATCATTCTGAACCAAAGAGTTATTACATCGGGTTCCAAGAGATTACAAGTCTTTCATAGATCGAGAGCAAGATCAGCTAAAACAAATTTGGTGGGGCGATCTGGGTAAGAATCACAAGAGAGAATTTTGTTGCTGAAACTTGAAGAGGCATCATCCAGCGCGAAATCGAACGCAGTTGATAATTCGTTCGGTTCTTTCGCAAGGTCAGATCCTGCCATATCATCCAAGTAGCTGTTAAGAGTAGAATAGCATTTAAATCGATATAAGGGTTAGATGCGTGGCTAACGAGCTGCTGCATACAATGTGATGGCAGGGCTATGGATGCCTGACAATTTGATCATTTGAAAGACTAACTGCAAAAATATACTGCAAGATAATAACTGCGAGTTCCCACATTATTAAACAGGGAATCTGTCCAACCCCAAAAAGCAACAGCCGTTCCAAAGCCTGATCAAGAAATCAAGGTGGTCATGATATCAATTTGTCAGTGCTTATTTGCTTTTCTGTTTCATCCATACAGTTATAAATTTTGGACATTTTATTAAACCGCTCAGTTATTAGTTTCAGCCAATGAGTGTGGAAAGGTCCCTCGAAAATGTATGAGTAGTAAAGACATTCATGTTCATTTAGTCCATCACGCAACTTGTCCAATGGGAAAGATGGCAGGTGTGTTCAAAGTTCTGATTTTTTTCTGTTTTAATTTTTTTATTGCTCATTTGTTATTTAACTTACATAATGTACTCCTGGGTTTATGTTGAAATATGGAAACGATTGGTCATCTTATTCAAGCAGTGAACTTGCAAAGTTTTGATTATTTACTCAGATGCGTGTTTTGTAAAATTGAGCTTTCCGAAATCGACGTATGCTACAGTTCGTATACCAAGCATATGCTGAAATTCACATGAATCCTGCCATGTCTAAAATAAGCCAAGTCTTACATGATTGGTCAGACTTTTGCATGGTCACAGAAAAGAAAGCTAAAAAGCACGCTTTTTCAGGATCTGGCACATCTGGTCGAATCGGACACAAAGCATATACATTGAGGTAGTGGAAAACATCTACTTTAAAACTTCTAAAGATTAGGTTCAGTGTATCTCATAGCACAATCACTGACCACAAATTGATTCTAGAGTCACTGCGTTCAACTGTTTAAACACTTTATATGAGAATGCAAAAGCAGCACACAAGCATGCATGATTAGCAACACCGAGACCAATAAAGACATATTCGGTACCATTCTGTCAACCTGAGAAACCATTGCACTGCTATTAAATAAACCGCTTTAACCGGTATCGATAATTAGCAGTAAATTATTAAACCCATAAGATCAGGTTTTTATGTGTAAATATGTCTATGGATCGTGAAATGCATACAGGTGTCTAAACAGGCATTTGTTCGACTCTGCCTAGTGATGCGGTTGTGTATATATGCATTGCCTGTGCTCAATTATCATAGAGCCGCAGTTTGCATAAATGATCCTGTAGACGACTAGAAGTGACGTAACGGTACCATTGTGCCACTTCAATATGGTATCAAAAGGAAGGCGTTATAAACCATCTGTGCACTTATCTCTGATATGGCTATCAATGCATGAACAAAATGCTCCGTGTGGAAAAATAAAGCATAATATTTTGGTCATGTAACAAAAGAAATGGTAACACTGTGACGAAAGCAACTCATGCACTACACGGAATCCGTGAAAAGATAAGAAATTATTAAATGAACATGGAAAAAATAGATCGAAAAACTACCACCAGTGAACGGTCCATGTGCAAAGTAACAAAAATGATGCATGGTCCTAACATTGTCTGAACAACAGAGTGTTTATACAAAATGAGGTGAAAAACCTCTTTCTGTTCCCTCAAAAGAGGAAAGATCACATTGAACAGAAGACCCTGAAACGATTGCATAGAACATCATAGTGTAGCAACAGAGTAATGATCAAAGTGGGAGGCACAATTACTTAGGATTTCATTCAAGTAAGATGTCTTCTTGAAACAGTTTCGGATTCCGGCCGAAACTTCTTCACCAAAAGATTATTTTTTAATACATGATTAAGATACCGAAGATAATCAGCAACGATGAAAAGTTAGCGTCCTGTTTCTTTATCAGCATCAGCAGCATTGTTAGGACAATGTTAAGATACTGGTAATGAAACTCGCTAACTGGTGGATACGCTTTTTCCATCTCAGTTTCATGCCTCGGCACTCTAGCCATGCATCGAGAAAATGATCCATTTGGTAATTACTTATACTTGAGGCATTCATGGAATTTGCTTGACTTTTACCGGTTGAAATAAATGAACAGAAAAATGGTGCAACTTGTCTTTTGCATCTGACATTTTACCAAACATAAGAAGCCTCGATTATTACGCTTATGGGGTGAATAATGAGCGCATAAATATGAAAGCGTAATTTAACGGGATTACGGCACCTCCCTGTTGTTTGTTTAACCATTAAAGACAGTTTCATGAGTTGCTAATGGCACAAGCTTAAAACCAGTAAGGAAAAACTTCAGAACGAATTAAGTGGGTCACTGTTTCATGCATATTTGAACACCAACATGCAAAATGTCAGTGCATCTCCCATCATTTCATTGGCTAGTAAAAGAATTTGCACGTCATATTTGTGTTTAAAGAGGCGGCACTGCTTATATGCTATAGCAGAACAGGAAGTAATGATGCGACTTGCATCAACTCTTATGTTCACGGAAGACGCTCAAATGCAACGGAGTGGAATCTTGCTTAAATGGCCCTGGTGGCGTATTAGAGGAAGTATGCTGAAGCATAATGATATTAAATCCTTTTCAGTGATATTTTTCGCTTATTAGCTGTTTTATTATTTAAAAATGTCAAAATATGACTAACTGTAATACTTTAAAGCAATGACTTGTAAGGTCATTTTTTATTTTCACAATACACTTTGCGAACAATGCAATTGCGGAGGTACCTGACAAACTCTGCTTCGAAAGACGACCCTGTTTGCAAATCTGAAGTCGACATACCAGTAGTCCATAGGTTTACGTATGACACTTTTGAAATTTGATCGAAAACAGAAGGGCATTTAGGAAGAGTACGGTATACTTAATGCCATGTCGCTAGTCAAAATTCTGGCAATAATACAGGGTCATTTTCAATTGTTAATTCGTATATGTTTCTTTTCTTTAAGAAGACATATAATAGTTCAATTACTATAAATATGCCCAGACAACAGACGGGTGTAGACAAAACAACGCTGAACTTCGACAAAGCTGTACAGCCCTTCAACGCTTATTTCTCATACGGCATTGAAAAATTGTACCCTTGACTGTGAGCCATAGCATCAGCCAGACGATAAACCATAATTTCAATGAATTACGTATATGATAAGAATGCTAGACGAACTCTCATAGCAAAATTACACAGAGTAAGCCCAGGGGAAGATAATAGAGTTTATGGCTCGTGTATATGG